TGCTCTAGAATACCTCCTTAATCTCCCTGCTGGAAAGTAATGGAGAGAGACAGACAGGCAGACAGAGACAGACACAGAGACAGAGAAAGACAGGAACAGGGATGCAGGCAACAAAACACATGATGTTGTGCTTTGGTCTTACCCCTAGTGACCTGAGTTTACATTCCACGCGATGGTATGAAATTTCCTTTTGAAGTGGAAATACTTAGATGAAATAAAAGCGAGTCTATTTACATACAACCATTAAGTCCATAATAAAGGTTTGCTGTCCACTGTGATGGAGGAGGGGCCTCTGAGCCCTGGCCCTCCTCTGCTGCATGCCTCCAGGGAGTCCTGTCGGTTGTAAGGGGAACAGGAGCCACCTGGAACCCTTGCTGCTTTCATCTCTCACATGTGCTGGAAATGAGCTTGTCCTCCCCTTTCTGATCCACCTGGATCATGAAGGAGGCACTGCTGGGGATGTGAAGGCTTGTCCCAGTGGCTTCCCAAATCCATCCCTCCAGTCGTGGGTTTCCCAGATCATACACAGCCTCTGGACTCAGGCTCTCTCAACCTGCTACCTTCCTTCTTGCGGCAGCAACAGGGTTAAAGAACAAACCTTGTATGTTAACCCACCTCGGGGTTCTGATGTGCTTTGCCCCATTAATAATTTAGTGAGGTGCGCTGAGTTGGATTGATTCTCCCCCCAAATCGATACACAAATGATTACCATTTTGGGGCAGTTCTAAGTGCTTTAGTGAGGCTGAGTGGAGCTTTTTGATTGGAAATTGGTACTGCACTCATCATTCAAAATTACTGTGTAAAGGGTTATATAAACCAAGGGAATGACCTGACCTGGTGCTAACATTTTTATTGCAATACACGTTCCCCCCTCCCTCTGCCCTTTTTGTGGAAAGGTGCTTTTACGACATACTTACTTTCACTATTCCAGGCCTGTCATTTAAAAATTACTGCTCAAAACAGAAGGTGAAATGATTTTACTACTGATGCTATTTTATTAAAGTTGTAAGACCCAGCAATGGCTTGGAGAGTGTCTGTGGCTAGAGATACCCCCCTTCCCACCCCACCCCCTGCCAGCACATAACCCCGGAGGGAGGAGCCTGCCTTGGGTTGGATGAGTGGGCTGTGCCCCAGGTGCCCGGCTGTCTCACAGGGTACAGCAGACACTCAGCTCCAAGCCTTGCTCCTCCTTCACCCCTGCAACCTGGCAGACCAAGGCTCTAGGAGGGCAGAGACACTAAGTCCAAAGCAGCAACCCAGACTGCCTGCCTCACCCCGCAGAGCGCAGATAGGAAGGTTGTCACAACCCTGAACTGACCAGTTTATTTTTAGTAATTTTTTTTATAATATGTTATTGTGGTAAGATACACTTAACAAAATGTATCACTTTAACCATTTATGTGTGTGGCTGCCCATTCCTCCCTCCCCCAAGCCCCTGCCAAACACCATTCTACCTTCTGTCTATGCATGTGACTACTGCAGGGTCCTCATGTAAGTGGAATCGTGCAGTATTTGTCCCTCTGTGACTAGCTTTTTCACTCAGCATAATGCCCTTAGGGTTCATCCGTGTTGGAGCATGTGTCAGAACGTCCTTCCTTTTAAAGACTGAATAATACTCCACTGTATTTATAAGCCACATTTTGTTTATCCTCCTTTCTGTCAATGGACAATGTGGGGTGATTCCACCTTTTGGTTATTGTGCATACAGCTGCTATGAACACAGGTGTACAAGTATCTCCCAGAGTTCCTGCTTCTGATTCTTTCGTGTATATACATACCCAGAGGCAGAACTGCTGCGTCATAAGGTAACTCTATGTTTAGCCTTTTGGGAAACTATGAACCATTTTCCACAGCAGTGCACCATCTTACATTCCCATCAGCAATGTGCAAGGGTCCTAACTTCTCCACATTCTCACCATCACTAGCTTTGTTTCTCTTTCTTTTCTTTTGAATAACAGCCATCCTAAATTGGTATTGCATTGTGGTTTTGATATTTTTAGTATTTTCAATTCAAATAGAGCTTATGTCCCATTCCCTAAAACTATTTGTTCTCTTCTTACCTTCTTTTGGCTCCTTCCCCCATTTTATTTCACAGTTGTACGATGCTGGCTGCTGTTCAAAAATCTCACAGTCATAGGTTTTCATTTTAGTTTCTACCTAAGTGGCTGAGATTTTAAAGTGTCACTTGAGAAGCATGGATTTGAAGGTATATAACAGCAAAATAGCCATTTAGAACACACTTTCCTGTGAGGAGCCTCTGCTGGGGTCCCAGAAGGGATCCTATAAAGCTTCTAAGGATTTTTTTCTGCCCAAGGAGAGATTGGTTCAAAGATGTAGACAGAACCACCTGCTCACCACTGGCTCAGGTGGGTAGTTGACCTTGGGTGCTTGGATGGCTGTACTCCCAGGGGGTCCTGGAGACCCCAGGGTCAGTCAGTATGCCCACATGCCATGGGGGCTGCTCCCAGGGCTGAGGACATTTCTCCAAATGCTCTCTGGCTCTGGCTCTTGCTGTTGCCCTGGCAGAACAGAAGAAGAGTAGACGTTAGCCCTGAGAAGAGTGGAAACATTCCAAGACCAGAACAAGTTGGGTGGAGAGGGGGACTTGATGATAGGCAGGGCTAGTCCCACAGGGTCATGAAATTCAGGTTAAGAACTTTGAAGTCCATTCTGGAGCATTTTCTGAAGGTTCATGATCCACTCGGCATGTTAAAAGCATGAGCTGTTGATTAGGAGGCAGGGGACCATGTAGGAGGCTTCTGAGGAGGTCCATGAGAGAGGAGATGGTGGCTGGGACCAGGGAGGGGGCCTGGTGATGGAGGAAAGTGGGCAGGTTTGAGACACTGTAGGGACTGGCTATCAGAACTGAGTGATGGATTGGTGTTAGAGGATTGGGATGGGGATTATTGACTCGGTAAATTATGTGGCTGTAAACTGAGCTGGGTGCAACAGGTGAGGTCAGACTGCAGAGGTATCTGTTCTAGAGTTCAATTTGGACAATGAAAGGTTTGCCTTCCTGGAAGGCACCTGCAGTAAACTTGGACCAGGTGGTCATAAAACCTTGTTTCAGTGTCACTCACCAAAGCCACATTTGACCTTTGGTCCTTAAAAAAGTCTAATTATTTGAAATCAAGAAAGACAATTACCATCCAACTTGGCATCCTCTGTGTAGTGGCCAGCAACCAATTGGATAGAAGTGGGCCTGAGTTTGAGCATGTGTATGCAGGACAATGAGGAGGGCATGGGGAACTCTCAAGTGGCAGTGGCTTCCTCTATGTATTGTAGGGGCTTAGGGGCATGTGGCTGGTCAGCAGTGACCCCATTGTTTCAGAGAGGGGTTTACATGGGATGCCTCTGTGCCTCAACCCTCTGCCACCTGCTTGCCCTCTTCTCCTTACTCCTGGAGCAGATTGCTAAAGGCCTCAGTGGCCCACAGTCCATATCTTATGAAACACATGGGGATGATAGCATCTTTGCTTCCTTCTAAGGAAGAAGGCCAGCTTCCTGCCAGGAGGACCCTGATTCACAGCCTGGGTCCCTGGGACCTGCTTCTCCTTTGTCTGTTTCAGCCAGTCTGTGCAAGTTCTCAGGTTCTATTACTGGCATCATTCTATTTCCAGTACTAAATTCTCCACTGGTTGGAAATTTGGGGTTGTGATGGACAGAAACCTTCTGGATATAACTAGAGCTGACACAGGATGTTTATTTAAAAGTTGCAGGGTGAGGAAGACCCAGCAACTGCAGCCAGGTCTTGCAGCAGAGCCTGGGCTTCAGGAACCATTGCAGAAGTGTTGAGAGGGGTTTGGGAGAGGACTGGGCCAGGGCTACACAGTGGAACCCTAGCAAGGCCCCTGCTTTGGGTGGCAGGCTCTAGAGGGCATTGAACCACCGTGGGACTAAACCGGAAACGGGGTATCAGGTAGCTATCGTCTCAGTATGGGCAGGGTGTCAGTTTATGCCAACTCAGTAATCAAGATAAATCCTATTTTAAAAAATCAAAATAATGCAAAAAAAACCCAAAACACCTCACCCATGATGAACAACATATTTAAAGTTTAAATACATATAGATTGCTGTTGTTTGTTTTATAGTCCTGCACTACTGTGCAAAGGGAACAGTTGTTTCCAATCAGCCTGAAGTTCCTGGGTAGCTGGATGGTCCCCTGCCATGTGGGTTCATAAAGGTTGACAGTGGGTTGTAAACAGATTGGGCAATTTGCAGCTTTATATACAGTCATGCTTTGTGAATTTAGAGCTTTTAGTAACCTTTTCTACTTGGTTCAAAGTATGGGAGGATATTTTGATAAGTATATAGAGGGGCTCACATATTTCCTTCTGCTTCAGGCTCCAGTAGGATTCCCCATCGTGTTCACAATAATCAACCTTGGATTCCCTATATAACTTGCAAAACATACATTAAAGTAGAAAGCATCTTCAAGTGGAAAACAGCACTTCAGACCATCCTTGCCAGTGCCCCTACATTGCTGAACATTTTTGCCCTGCTAAATGCCCAATGCATGGGCAGTCGGCAGTCTGAGGAAGTTCTGAAACCACGTTATGGTAGGCTAATGTTCTTTACCATAAATAAGCCATTTTTCTTGTTATTGACTCAAATCTTTTAACCCATCTCTCAAGAAGAAGTCTGCTTTGGGAAGACCACCAAAGGAATTAGAAGACAGAGAATAAGAAAAACAAAAAGGTGTTTTCCCAAATTTTGTCTAACATACAGTTTAAAGTAAGTTAGTGAGTTACTCTGTCTACAACTTTCACTACTATAATATTTGTTCCTTTCTATCTGCTCTCCAAAAATGATATATGAGGTGGGGGAGAGGGATCCTGAGCCTCAGGCCACACAAATCTCCGTGGTAGGGAACCTCTGGGCACCTTTGATTTCACATCTGTTTCAGGAAAGGAAGGTTGACCCTGCTTGACCCTAAATGGCCTCCTCAATACTTCCTAGGTCTCTCCCATTTCTGCCTCTTCTGGCCCCAGTACCTGGTTTACAGCTCTCCCAGGGGTCGGCCCCAAGCCTGAAAACCAGGCCTCCTTTCCACTTCCCAGTGCCTGTTGGGGTGATCAGGTGGGTCAAAGATCCCGTGAGGGTCGGTTTCTGGAGGCCTCTCGGGGTGTTCACAAATATCTCCTTAAAGGCCTTGCTCTGCATAGAAGAACTCGTTTTAAGGGTGTGACAGCGCCATTTGGGCTGTGGCCAACGAGGAGGGAAGGTTGGAGGGGCTGGAGCAGGGACACCTCACCTGGAAGACAGGCCTTAGCTTTGCACCACAATGACCCGTCCTGCCTTAAGCAGCCCTGAGCAGCCTCTGCCTCGACCACCTTCTACCAGCCTTTCCTCCCCTGTTCTCCCGCACAGCTGGGCTCCGGGACGGACCGGTTCGTGGGTCGGGAAGGAGGCCAGGCCAGAGCTGCCCGGGACCCTGCGCGCAGCGCCAGCCCTGAGCGCCAGGCTCAAGGGCGGAGGGCGAGGACTGGCAGGGGCAGCCCGCTGGAGCTGTCCAGCACCGCGGCGGGGCGCGCGCCCCCCGACCGCCCGCCCCAGCGCCTCCCCCCACCGCCAGCGCCACTGCGGCTCGGCGGGCGTGTCACGTGGCTGGCGCGGCGCGGCCTCCGGGCTCCGGGCGGGCGAGGGGCCGGGCGGGAGACCCGCAGACCCACGGACGCATTAGCGGCGGCACCCGGCCGGGCGGCTGGGTGCAGCTGCGCGGCCCCGGGGCGGCGGGGCCGGGCGGGCTGCGCGCTGCGGGGCATGGGCGCGCCGGGGGTCCCCGGGCACTGGCCGGCCGCGGCGAGGTGCCCGGGGCGCGGGGGCAGCGGCGGACGGGGGTCCTCCCTGGCGGCCGCGGCTGAGCCCCCGCGGGCCCCGTGACGCCGCGGCCGATGAGGCCCCGCGCGCGCTGCGGGCCTGCACCGCCGCCTCACAAAGGCGCCGCCAGAACCGCGGCTCGCACCCGGCCCGCCGCCGCGGCGGGAGCCGGAGCCCGAGCCGGAGCCGCAGCCGCAGCCGCAGCCGCAGCCGCAGCCGCAGCCGCAGCCTGGGGACAGAAGGCGGCGCCCGCGGGCGGCCGGCCCCGGCATGGAGAAGCGGGCGGCCGCTGGGCCCGAAGGCGCGCCGGGCGCCCGGACGCAGCTCGCCGTCGTCTGCCTGGGTGAGTGGGCCTCGCGGGCCGGGCGGCTCTCGGTCCCCGCCTCGCAGCTCCTCCGGTCTCGGGCCCGGGCGTCCCCGAGCGGGCGCTGCGAGAGCTCCAGCGCGGAGGCCGCAGAGGGGGAGGCCCCCGGGTCAGCCTGCTGCTGGGGTCTCAAGCCTGCGAGGGCGACTCTGGCAGGGGAACCCCGGCTCCCGCCGGCTCGGAAGAGCGCCTGGGGGCCCGCGGTGCGCGGTGCGCAGCGCCGCTGGGCTATGCAGGCTGCTGCGGTTGGCAGACAGTGGCTCGTCGCCCGGCCTGCCCGCACTTAGCCTGGCGGGGATGGAGGCCTCCGGGGACGCGGACAAAGGCGAGGCTGGCGGGGCTTGGGCCAGCTGCCCCGTCTGGAAGGAACTGTTTCCTGCCTGGAGTTGGGGTGGGGGCGAGTGCTGGCGGGAGCCCCGGTTCTGGATGCCCGGCAAGAGGCCGCCGCGGTGATGACTTGTTTTCGCTTTGTGTCTTGGAGCCAGAGGGGCAGGCCTGTTCAGCCCAGAGTGGTGTGTCAGGGGAGCGCCCGGGGACCTGCCCACGCAGGAGGGTCTCTTGCCCCACCCGGGAGTTTTTCTGCCCATCCTTCCAGCGCTCTGTGTGGGGGGGGGAGGGGAAGAAAGGAGTTAAAGCCTCAATCCACATGGCTCCTTTATTTACCATGATGGAGGAGGGAGGCCATTATCTGAGCTTCGGGTCATTAGGGGACACCCTATGGGGTCACAAATGAAGGCTCTGTAAGCCCAATAGGTTTGCTGAAGCCGCTGAAAAGACAAAATTAAAAAGAAACCTGTCGGTTTTAAGCTGCACCCTCCTTTGCTCCTCAAGAACCAGGGAGTTCCAAGTTCAGGGGAAAGCCCCTGCCTCAGCAGCATGAGTGGTTGTACTAAGGGCCATGATCCCCCACGGCGCCCACTCCTCACTGTGTTAGTGGTAGTGTGCTCTGGACTCAGCTGCTGGTTGCTGGGCTTCCTGGGTGAGCAGGACAAGGGGACAGGCCCTTTGGCTTCCCCAGGGCCCTCCTTGCCCAGATGTGGCATGGGCTCTGCCTAGCAGAGCCTGGGTGTCCTGAGAGGGGACAGTTGCCCCTGTGTTCTCACCAGTGGGGGCTGACCCCTGCAGAGATGCTCTCTGCCTCCCTTGGCATCCTTGATGCTGGGGGAAGGGCACCCTGAACCTTGGAAGTTGGCTTTGCCCATAGCCTCCTCCTGGTTCCATAACCCCAGGCAGGAAAGCAGTAGGTGAAAGTAAAGGACAAACCCCATGGAGATGGCTACTTGAGGGGGTGCGTGGCAAGACAGTTCTTTGCCTCCCTTCTTAAGGTCACCATGGCACGGTGAGGAGGACCCTGAACTCCGCTAGTTCTGGGTCCCTGCAAAGTGGGCTAATCAGGATTGCTTCCCTCCCTCCCTGGCTGCCAGAGGGAGGGAGCCCTTCAAGGTGGCAGGAACTCCCTTGCCAGGCAAGGCCCCCACCAGGGCTGAGCCAGGATCTCTCTCCTGTGGGTAGTCCAGGCCTGAGTTCCCAAGCTCAACAGGAGATGGAAACACATCCCTCCCACATGGGTTAGCAATCCCAGGGGTGGGGAACAGCAGGAGTGGCCTGGTGCAGCCGGGCTTGTCCCCTGCTCTCTTTGGCTGAGGATGTGGGGTGGGTGCTAAAACCCTCTGGGGTCCTTGCCTCTGCCCATCCTAGCGGGACCTGGGTAGGAACAGAAGTCTCTGTGGAAGGGCTTTAGATGAAGAGATGAAGAGAACCAGCCTAGAGTTCCGGCTATATTGTTCTGTGCTCCCATAAGGGTTGCTGGTGGCCCTGGGCAGGTGCCTGGGCCCCAAGAGCCACTGGCCCCCACTGACCCCATCTTATGTTTCCCACAGTGAACATCGTTCTCACTGGGAGGCTCAGCAGCGCGGTTCCTGCCTTAGGTGAGTAAGATGTTTCCCTCCTTCCTCTCTGCCCTTCTGACCCAGAGACCTCTGAGGACGGGCCTTCAGGGCCTGTCTGCCCCTGAGGTCACCTGGCCTTTTTCGGCCTCAGTCCTCAGTGCATCTTTTCTGCATCACAAATGAGCTGTTTGGGCAAGCTTACACCTTCCTGTTTCCTCTTCTGTAAAATGGATGCAATAGCAGGATCTACCTCAATAATCCTGGTTGTTAGGGTTAAATGAGTGAATGACGCAGGTTGCTCAGTACGGTGCTGGCACATGGCAGCTTAATACCACTAGCAAACTGTCACAGAACGACTACAACTGACAGACTGTGCTTCCTGTGAGCTGTAGGGTTCCCCAAGGGCCATGAGATGCCATGAAATGCCTGCCTGTTTTAAAATTATGCCTGGCATTTAATTTACAAAGGTGTGACTGAGTGACAACACAAGAGGCCAATACCATGTTTGGTCAGGCAGATGCAGGAGTGAGGGGAAGGCCTAGGCCAGAGCCTTTTGTGGATTTTCTCCAGGAAATGCAAGGCAGGACAGGGGAAACAGCTTGGGATAGGCTAGGCTGAGTGATTCCAGCTGGCTTGAAGGGTGGTCTGGTTTCCTGAACCTTGGCCCTGGGATGACCTAGGGCTGGGGAAATATTGGCTTCTTGTGTGAATTAGGTAAGTAGGTGGGAGCTCAGACTTGGATCAACTGGTCTGTTGGGGAAAGACCAATTCCAGGCAAGTTAGTGTGCAAGAGAGAGGTAAACACTTGGGCTAATAGTTGGGCCCTGTGATTAGTGGATGCCAAATAGACATACAGAATCTAAGAAAGCAGTTACAACTCCCCCTCTGCCTCCTGCCTGTTAGAGTGGGTCTGACCATCCACAGGCCATCTTTTTGCTCAGGCCTAGTGCTGAGGACAGCAAAGACTGTCAGGAACAGGAGAGGAAACTGAGGCCATCAGGGGCATTTGCTCTTTGCTGAGGGGCTGCCACAGGTTGGCGAATTCACAGGCCCATGGCGTTTGGTGCTCCTGGACACACTGAATAGGACCTCAGGAGCTGGGGAGAGTCTATAGTCGCCAGCCTGGTGGCCCTCTGACTGGTTTGCTGTCTGCCGTGCTATATAGTGGGACAGGAAAAACCTAGGATTTCTAGTTCTGCCTAGAACCCAGCTTACAGCAGAAACCTACTGAGCCTGGCTCAGGGTCAGGGATCTCTGCTGTCCAAGGTCCCCCGGAATGGGGAGGCCCAGAGTCCACAGAAGCTGGTGCCACAGCTCCGTCTCTCAGTCTTCCTCCTGATCCTTCCTGCATACCAGCTCCTACTGCCGGCAGCCTGGCCTCCTGTGTTGGCTTGGCTGGTCCAGGGCCTTGCCTTGCTCAGCTCTGAGCCAGCCCCAGGCCTGCCTGGCTTCCTGGCCACTATAGCCTGCCTAGTCTCTCCATCCCAATTTCCAGGAGAAGACTGACTGGCCCCATCTGGGTCAGATGTGGGTGACTATGGTAGAGAGTAAGAGGGAGGGGGTGTGGGGATCAGGTGTTACAAATGTGAGCCCCAGGCCAGCCCTCTTGCTTTGGTGGCTGGGCATGTGGCCCCAAGCACGTGGTTTAGAAAAGTGATGTTCACTCATAGAGTCAGGGAGAGAAAGAGCCATCCAGGTCCACACGTCTGGTGGTTCTTAGCTATTGGCAACCTCAGATCGCCACAAGGTCCACATTGCCAACTCCTGCCATTTACACAGTGCCTGTGTGTGGTGCCCTGGTGTCTGAGCTGCACGCACAGCCCCTGTGGCCACAGGTGGTGGTCTGGGGCCCTAGTTCTCCTGAGGTCTAGTTCTGTCCCTTTCACAATGCTAAGGGAAGTGGAGACCAGCTTCTGGCCACCTGAGGTGCCCCTACCACCTGCCCCACAGCTCAGTGGCTCTGTGTTTTCAGGGCTTTTCCTTGCAGTTCATACTGTGAGGGGCCTGGATCATAACTGTCTTCCCTGTCCCTTCCCAGCCCTCACTGGGCTGCCTGAACCCACACATTTTTGCCTTTCAGCCCATCCTGCCCCAGGTTGTCAGGTGCTATGTCAGATGACACACCTCCCACACCCTCGCCTCTGGGCTCCACCTTGCGGCCACTGTGACCCCGGCACAGTGAGCCTGGGCAGGGCCTTTAGGCTGTTCTCCACTCAACTGGCAGCTTCCCCTGAGTGTCTGGGGTGGGGCTCCCAGCTCCCTGCCATCCAGTTACACCAGGCAGGTTGGCCAGAGTATTGATTGCCTCTGGAAACTGGATCTGCAAATTGTGTTTCATCAGGCCATGCTCCTGCCCACTCAGGAGTATTTGAGGACTTTTTGAACTAGGGAAGAGGGATGCTTATTGGTCTAAAAGTGCTCAGTCATCCCAAGCCTACCTTGGCCACTTTGGCCCAAGGGCCGAGAAAGCTTCTGCCTGAGACAACTCAGATCACCTCCAGTTAAAGCTCAGACAGGCTTCACTGACTGTCCCAACCCCCACCCCCAAACCCTCTATCCTACAAACATACAGTCCTTGCTGCCTATCGTCACACCCTCGTGATCTTCACATCCCACGGCAACCCCCCCACTCAGCCCACCACATGGATGTCGGCCTAAGACTGCCGCTTTCCACCCTCTGAGACAGGCGGCACCCCTGGTCTCCATCTTACTGATGGAGAAGCTAAGGTTTAGGGTGGAATGGTGTGCTTGGCAGTGGCGGCCCTGGGACCAGATTCACGGAGCCCTTTTGTGCCTGCCTGTGTCTGGATCCCAGAGTGGTGTACTGGGGTGGGGGTGAGGCCTGCCTTCACAGAGGGGCCTGGAGCTGGTTATCTGAGCTGGTGATCCCCTTCAGGCCCGTGGCCAAGCAGTGTCCAGTCAAGAGGCCCTGATCAGAGCTCCCGGCTCCCTTCATGGACCCCGGCCTCCCTTCTGCTCCATGTTCACTCTGCCAGGCTGATGGCTGCACAAGCCACGGTCTCTGTGCCCCCCCTTTTGGAGAAGAGCAAACAGTAACTGAGTGGTCTTGCTGCCCCTGGTGTGGGAATTTCTAGGGCAGCCCTGGGGGATGCTCCAGGGTGAGGCTGTTTAGAGGGATGCGTTGTTGGGAGTTTGTTGAGAGACAAAGTTAGGATGGTAACTCACGTGCTCCTGACTTGTCTGGTGGTCTCAGTGGTAGTCCTGGTCTCTGGAAGAAGGGCCAGACACAGGTCTCAGAAGTATAGTCGCTGAGGCAGGAGGCCCCTGCAGAAGACATGCGGTCCTAACTGTCCCCAGCCACTGAGGATGAGAAACCTGGCCTTTGTGAGAGTTCCAACCCCTCAGGACGGCCTCCAGGTCAGGGTGGGTACTTCCCAGGCCCTGCCTCTGCCCCAGGCACTGTCCTGAGGGCTGAGGGTAGAGGAGACGGAGACCTGGCAGATAGAGCCCCCTGACCCTGGGTTTTAGCATGTGCTTTAGGGATTTGACAGTGGGGCCTCCCTACCTGTGCACCTCCTACCCAGAGCCCTTCGGGAGGAGAAGCCTCATCCGGGTGTCATGACCCCACACCTCCCAGGGTCCCCAGGTCAGCATCCAGCGTTCCTGTGAGCTCTGCAAGGCTTGTGGCCTCCCCTGTCAGAGGAAATGGGCTCCTGTCCTTCTCCTGGGTGCTTCCCTCACTCCTGTTTTACGGGTGAGAAATCTGGGGCTCAGAGAGGCTAGCACCCCAGGCCCTGGGTGAGCCAAGCAGAGAGGCCTAGGTAGTACCTTGCTGACCTGGGACCGTTGAAGCCTTGATGGTGTCCTGAGGGTGGGGGGCCTTGCTTTTGGGTCAAGGGTGGGTGTTTTTCTCGTAGTGCCTTGATGCTCTTGTGAGCTGTGGGTGGGGTTTTCTGACTCCCTCTTAGTCAGTGGTGGATCATTTCCAAGGTCATGGCCCTAGGAGCCCAGGAGGCAGCTGGAGGGCTTTCACTCTCCTTCCTGTAGCTGTGCCATTTGGGGTCCCCAAGAGTCTTCTTGAGAACTAGCACAGAGGCCCCTGCTTCCAGGGTACCAGTGGAAGGTGCCAGGCAATGGGAGAGGAGGTGGTTTCCCTGGGCTTGGGAAAGTGTCATTGTGAAGGGTGTAAGGTACTGGGAGGGGTGGGAGCAGCCAGGTGCAGGGTGCCGCCCAGTCCTGGGAAGGCCAGGGCATGCTGAGAATAATGAAGGAGGAATGCACTCACAGCAAGGCCACCTGGCTGGGCATTGCCCATGCCAGCTGGTGTGCTACACTGCCCTTGGCACCACGCTGTCTCATCTGATTGTCACAAGAGCCTGTGGCAAGGCCAGGGCCCATTATACAGATGGAGAAACTGAGGCACAGGGAAACGAACGGTGACACTTTCCCTAAGCCCACTGGAAACCTAATGCAGCATATAGTCCACACTTCATAAGTGCATTGGCTCACGGTCTGTTTTACAATCTTTACTCCACCCGAAGGGTCTGCATAAAGTCTCTCTGCCCTCTCTGTAGCCTGGGAGTTCCACAGAGTGGGGCTTCTGCCTGTCTTCCTCAGCGTGCCTAGTGCTTGTGCACAGCACTAGGTACTCAATAAATGTGTGTTGTGTGAGCAAAGCCCCTCCCCTTCTGGGGCTGAGGTCTGTATTTGGCCAGTCCCAGGGAGGGGACGCAGGGAGCCACAGCAGGACTGCCTGTGCAGGACTGATAGGCCTGGGGGTGCAGAGTCCTCCACTGAGGCCCCGAGGCTGAGAGGCTGCCCTTCCCAGACGCCATAGGGAGCTGTTGATGGGCTTGCTCCTAGCCCTGCTGGGGATAGGGGATAGGACCTAGCTGCACAGGGTGGGGTTGGGGGTACCTCTGCCCTGAGTCCGTGTGGGTCCTTGGTCCCCCATACACAACACTTCCATGAAGTCTTGAGTTGTAGCCATTGGCCATGGCCATCCTTGGCTGGCCTTGATCCCACCCTGGGGAAGGCCCGTGCTCAAGCCATGCGGGGGCTCAAGTGTCCCCCCACCCCACTTTCCACCCAAAGCTGAGGCCAGAACTTCTCAGCCTCCTCTCCCAATAGCTGCCTGTAGTGGGAAATTGGAGCAGCACACAGAACGGCGTGGAGTCATCTACAGCCCAGCCTGGCCCCTCAACTACCCGCCGGGCACCAACTGCAGCTGGTACATCCAGGGTGACCGTGGGGACATGATCACCATCAGGTAAGGGGGTCACAGGGGTGTCAGAGAGAAACTGTAGGCCTGCATGTGCTGAGTGTGTGTGAAAGAGTGCATGCATGTACATGACTACATGTGTGAGTAGGTATAGGCACGTGTGAACAGATGTGTGTGTACATGTTTGAGCATGTGTGTAAGTATACAGGCAAATGTGTGAGTGTATATGTGTGTGAGCACCTGATGTACATGAGCACATGTGTGAGGTGTGGAGGGCACATTTGTGGGATTTGTGTGAGTGCATGTGTGAGAGAGTCTACGTGTGAACATGTATGAGCTGTAAGCATGTGAGAGCCCATGAGCATGTGAGTATGCCCCACTCCTGGGTCTCTCAGAGCCTCTGTGGCTGGCTGCCTAGAGCTGGGCCCCATCCTGCCATGAGCCTCTCTCAGGGGCTGTGGGGGCTGTCAGTCACCTCAGCCCAGCCAGGAAGGGAGCCCTGGGGACTGGTGGGCATGGTCCAGCTGTCTCTAAGGTGGCAGAGGTGTCCTTTCTGCCCTATAGGGGTGGCTGGAGGCCTGGCTGGCACAGAGCTCAGAGCAGAGTTTCCTCACGGGCCTCGGGGTGGTCTCAGCGAGAGAGGGAACCAGGCAGGAGTCAGGTGCTGGAGCAGCAGGGCCTTGCAGAGGGAGCTGGGTGAGGTGCCCAGACAGTGGAGCTGTGGCTGGACTCCCTGGCTAAATGCCAAAGCCCAGAAGGCCCCCAGTCACTCATCACCCAAAGCACTGGGGTGTGATGGCACGGTCAGGGTCTGCCCTGTAGCCTGTGCCTGTTTCCATGTGGCCACAGGGCCATGGCTCTCAGGAACTCTCCTCAAAGACTCTACCCTCACTGGCTGCTGCTAGAGTACTCCACGGCCCTGTGGCCTGCTCATTCCACAGCTGAGGCCTGGGGGGGGTCTGGGCCAGTGTTTTTCCCCAGGTGACAAGCTGTCTCCCAGCCACAGGCTAGGCCAGCGCTGTGTGCCTGGCCCCCCTCAGTGAACAGGCCTGAGTGTGTGTGGGGTCTGTCCCAGCAGACCCAGTGTGGAGGGATATGGACCCTTGGGCTTCACCCCTTTGGGGGAGAGGGCCAGGGTAGGGAATTGCCCAAGATAGGACCCCTGATTCCCCGTCTACTTTGGCTTTGGGTGGAGGAGGGCAGAAGGGAACGAACGCACCCTTCACAGAGCTGCAATGGGGCTGCAGTGACAGACGCTGTCCCCGGTTGTCCTGACCTACCCTGGGACCACCCTCAGACCCCTGGACAGCAGGAGTCCCGCTGAGTGGCTGGGAGTGGAGGAATGAAGGCATGGTGTGGGGCTGGCCATCCTTGCCAGGAGCTCAGGTCTGACCGTTCCCTGCTGTTCTTGGCCACGTGGGGACCGCCTGCCCACGCACGTCTGCAGTCGTCTCTGCTCCAACAGCTTCCGTAACTTTGACGTGGAGGAGTCCCACCAGTGCTCCCTGGACTGGCTCATGCTGGGCCCCGCAGCCCCGCCCCGCCAAGAGGCCTTCCGGCTCTGTGGCTCTGCCATCCCGCCTGCCTTCGTCTCTGCCCGGGACCACGTCTGGATCTTCTTCCACTCTGACGCCTCCAGCTCCGGCCAGGCCCAGGGCTTCCGTCTCTCATACATTCGAGGTGATGCCAGCAGCGGGGTGGGGCACCACAGAGCATGCGGTGGGTGCCCTTGTGTGGGCTCCAGGGTCCACCGGCCCGCTCCCTGCAGGGTCTCCCTAGCAGCCCGGTCTGTCAGGGTCATTCCTATCTCTGGGTGCCTTGGAGCCCCTTGAGGTCACTGACCCTACTTCACAGACTTGGTCAGGGTGGGGGACTCATCCCTTACCCTGACTCAGCTCAAATACTGAACCCACCCTAGTATCTGAGGGGTCTCTGCCCTTCCAGTGGCCATGGAGAGGCCAGGGGTCCTTCTCCCTGGGTCCTGCCTCTTCCTGGGTCCTGCAGGGGCCCAGCTGGGATGGGGGAGCCACCTGCCCACAATGGCCCCAGGACTTGCACTGGGGGAGGCTCTGCTCTCCCTTGACTGCTTCCCCTTATGCCCTTCACCCCACAGGGAAGCTGGGCCAGGCGTTCTGCCAGGCAGATGAGTTCCGCTGTGACAATGGCAAGTGTCTGCCTGGCCCATGGCAGTGCAACACGGTTGATGAGTGTGGTGATGGCTCTGACGAAGGCAACTGCTCGGCTCCTGCATCTGAACCACCAGGCAGCCTGTGCCCTGGGGGCACCTTCCCCTGCAGTGGTGCACGCTCCACGCGCTGCCTGCCCTCAGAGCGGCGCTGTGATGGCACACAGGACTGTGGCGATGGCTCGGATGAGGCGGGCTGTCCTGACCTGGCATGCGGCCGGCGCTTGGGTAGTTTCTATGGCTCCTTTGCCTCCCCAGACCTGTTTGGTGCAGCCCGAGGGCCCTCGGACCTTCACTGCACGTGGCTGGTGGACACGCAGGACCCGCGGCGCGTGCTGCTGCAGCTGGAGCTGCGGCTGGGTTATGATGACTACGTACAGGTGTATGAGGGCCTGGGCGAGCGTGGGGACCGCCTGCTGCAGACACTTTCCTACCGCAGCAATCACAGGCCTGTGAGCCTTGAGGCCGCCCAGGGCCGCCTCACCGTGGCCTACCATGCCCGCGCCCGCAGCGCTGGCCATGGCTTCAATGCCACCTACCAGGTGAAGGGCTATTGCCTCCCATGGGAGCAGCCCTGTGGGAGCAGCAGTGAGGGTGATGTGGGTGACACAGGAGAGCAGGGCTGCTTCTCGGAGCCACAGCGCTGCGATGGCTGGTGGCACTGCGCCAGTGGCCGTGACGAGCAGGGCTGCCCCGCCTGCCCGCCGGACCAGTACCCCTGTGAGGGTGGCAGTGGCCTGTGCTACACACCTGCTGACCGTTGCAACAACCAGAAGAGCTGCCCAGATGGCGCCGATGAGAAGAATTGCTTCTCCTGCCAGCCCGGCACCTTCCATTGTGGCACCAACCTGTGCATCTTTGAGACGTGGCGCTGTGATGGCCAGGAGGACTGCCAGGATGGCAGCGATGAGCATGGCTGCCTGGCAGCTGTGCCCCGGAAGGTCATCACTGCCGCCCTCATCGGCAGCCTGGTCTGTGGCCTGCTGCTGGTCATCGCCCTGGGCTGCGCCTTCAAGCTCTACTCGCTGCGCACGCAGGAGTACAGGTGGGCGGGCTGCCTCGCAGTGCCGCCAGGTGCCTGGGCTCATGCACTGGAGCCTTGGTTTCTTTGTCTCCGTGCAGAAAGGCCCTGGGCTCCCTGTTCCCGCAGCCCGGGGTCTGTAAATTAAGGCTTTGCCATGCTCAGGTGGACCCTGAGCATCTTGGGATGGCATGGTGGAGAGGTGGGGTCCTCAGCCCTCCTGCTGAGCTATTGCACAGGGCCCATGGGAGGCGGGAAGCATGGGGTTCTGGCCAGCCCTGCAACGAGGCCCTTCTGCCCATTGTTTTCAGGGCCTTTGAGACACAGATGACGCGCCTGGAGGCAGAGTTTGTGCGGCGGGAGGCCCCCCCGTCCTATGGTCAGCTCATCGCCCAGGGCCTCATTCCCCCTGTGGAGGACTTTCCCGTCTACAGTGCAGCCCAGGTGAGGGCCAGAGGGCAAGACCCCGCAGGGGTGGGCGAGGGGGTGGGCTGGGTGGTCCACAGGTGGGGGAGGTGGGAAGCGAGGCCTGGGCAGGGTGACATGGGTGATGTGGGGGTCCACAGCCCTATAGGGGGGGATAAGTTGGTCTCTTGGGTCTCTGTCCCTCTGGGGTTGTGCTGATCTCTGCCCCCTCAGCCGCCGCCCCACTCTCCAGGCCTCGGTGCTACAGAACCTTCGCACAGCCATGCGGCGACAGATGCGCCGACACGCCTCCCGCCGAGGGCCTTCCCGCCGTCGCCTCGGCCGCCTCTGGAACCGGCTGTTTCACCGGCCACGGGCACCACGCGGACAGATCCCACTGTTGACCGCTGCGCGCACCTCGCAAACAGTGCTGGGCGATGGGCTCCTCCAGCCTGCATCAGGGGCTGCCCTAGACCCCCCAGCACCCCTTCTGGACACAGGCAGCCCCGGGGCAGCTGGGGATGGGTGCCCCGGCATCCCTGGCCACACACCAGAGGTGGGACCTTCTGTGCCAATCCCCTCAGGACTGCAGGACCCGGAGAGCAGACTGGTAGACAAGGACAGAAAGGCCTGCAGGGACCCCATGGTGGACAGCCCAGCCCCTGCAGAAACACCTTGGGAGCCTTGCTCAGCCCAGGACTCTCACCCCCCAGCCCCTGCTGCCAGCAGCACTCTAGGCCCCCACCCACCAGAGCCACTGGCTGTCTCTCCCCCCACCTGCTCCCCAATGCTGGAGGCCAGTGACGACGAGGCTCTGCTTGTCTGTTGACTGCCGGACACGCTGGAGACTGCCACAGCCCCGCTTTGTAACCAGGGAATACACAGTCATTTCTACCCCGCCTCTGCGTCCTTCTTTCTTGCGGAGAGGGTCCCCCAGAAGCCCAGCCAGCTTACTGCATCGGCACTCCTACCCTTGGTGGGCATGGCAGGCAGGGGCCGTGCGGGCTTGAGCAGAGAAGAAGGTAGAGGGACAAGCCCCTTGCAGGGTCCCAGCACAGGTACACTGGGTCTCACTTCTACCTCTCCCACCTCCTGGGAATCCATTTCCAGAGAATCAGGAGGGCCAGGGCAGGGCTCTCGAGTGTTTTCTGTGGCTTCTGGCTTCACTCATCCTGTTGGCACCAGAGCTGTGCCAGGACTGAGCAGAGCCACAGCTATGTGGGACGCAGCCCATCTAGCCCATGCTGGGCCCTCTGTTGGTGCCGAGCCCTCCTCCGTCCTCCCAGCAGGCCCCAGAGAAGCTAGGAGGCTTCCACACCCCATCTTGTTGTATCAGCATGGGCCTGGCCAGGCTGATGCCCTTTGCCCTCTGGCTGAGACATCAGTCTTCTGGGCATAAAGGCAGGGCTGAGAATGTGGGTATGTGGTAGAGGAAGCCCCTGGGTCTCTTGCAGGCCCCGAGGTCCCTGGGAGATGCTGCTTGATGCTTTCTCAGAGGACAGAGGCCAAGTACCAACTGACAATGCTGACAGATCATCCCATCCTGTCTCAGGGCCTGTTTTCCCCCATGTAAACCAGGGTGATGCTGTGGGCTCTGAAGTCCATGGGAATTTATAGACAGAAAGGCAGTTCTGGCAGGAATCCCTGGATTTTTGTGGGTGGCTAAGCCTGGGGCTGGCATTGTGGGGCCTGGAGAGGGCACACCTTGCTGCTTCCCAGTCCTCAATGTCCCTTTGGGGCAGGGGAGGCTCTGGACCTCACAAGGCAGAGGGAGTGCCTGGCTCAAGTGGCAGAGCCCCCAGGTGCCAAAGGCCTCCTTCAGAGCCCGCTGGGGCACCTTCCCCAGTGGCACCATGCATACCCCTTGCTAGTTATGCCCACCAGGAACTCAGGACCTGAGTCTAGCACACCACCAGCCCTGTTTTATTCAGACCTTTTCAGGAAAAGTTAGCAGGGCAGCACTGATAGGGAACCCAGTCCACATCTTCAGGGCCTCCTTATCATAGGCCTCTAAGTCTCAGATCTTTTTTTCCAGGAAAAAAGAAAACTCTGTTACAAAAACATCTCCTTGATAAACAACATGTAAACAGAAACAGCTGCTTCAAGGTCCAAAACTGTCTCATTGTGTCTTCAAGGGCTTGTCCACGGCAGGCAGCGGGGAGGGCTGGCAGGGGCCATATTCCTCCTCCTCTGGGGCACCCTGGGGGTAGACCACGAAACACAGCTCCTGGCCCCAGCGTGTCATTGACTCTGAGGACAGACAGACAGACAGATGGGCCTTGGTCTGACTCCAAGAGGCAGGGGGTCTCGGGAGGACTTCTCTTTCCGCCTGGTTTAGGGTCTTCTGTTTTTGTGCTTCTTCTGTGGGTGGGTCCCAGATGCTTGGGCCACAGCCTGGGGAGACTTTGGTGGTGGTTTGGGCCCTGTGTTGTCACCGCAGCTGCTGGGAGAGCCTGCTCTAGGGCAGTCCCCAAGGGTCCCCCCTCCGGGCCCCACCACCTCAGGGAGGCTGCCCTGGCTCACCTGTGAGTTTGTGCACACACTTTGGTTTGCTTCTCCAGAACACGCCCAGGAAGAAAACGGGCACCCCCGTGAGGATGATGATGACGCCCACCCCGCACACCGTGGGCTCTGAGAGGAAGCTGAAGACCAGCAGGAACGCCCAGAAGACCAAGTACGCCGTGGGGACGAGGAGGTTCACCTGCCGGGGAGAGAACGGGAGTGCCAAGGGCACAGGACTCCTGCTCGGCTCTCCTGCGCTGTGGCCCGGGGGAGCCCGAGGTGCCTTTCACCCTGTCATGGGAGCTGAGGCCTGAGGGCAGCAACCCAATGTGCCGGAAATTGGCCAAATTGTTGAAGATTTGTCAAGGTTTCAGTGGCTCAGCTCCACACAGCAACTGCATGTGGGCTTGCCACTTGCATTTGGCTGAAGGTCAGTTATTTTTTGGTTTCACGGTTTAGGCACTAAGCATTTCGCCAGCTGGAGAGGAGATGTCTGCAAATAGGAGAGGAGGACTTTTAGCTCAGTTTTTGTTTTTATGTGGACTCATGGAATCCTGCATGACCAGGAGCAAGTGTTGTAGCCTCATTTTCTCATTGTGAACTGGGAGGATTCAAAACGCCCACCTCATGACGATGGACTAGGTCAGTGCACATAAAGCCCTGCGCAGGGCCCAGCTTGAGGCAAAGGCTGGAATCCCCTTTCTTGTCATCCCCTCCCCCGGTGCCCAGATAGGTGAGAGGGCAGCTTTGACAGCTTCCAGCTCATGGGCCAGCCTGTCCTCCCAACAGCCTCACCTTGATGGGCCTGTGGAGCGCCGGCCGCTTGCAGCGCAGCACGAGCAGGCCCAGGATGGTGACGCCATAGCAGAGGTAGTTGATGAAGGACACGTAGTTGATGAGCGTGTACGTGTCTCCCACAAGCATGATGACCGCTGTGGCCCCACACTGGGAGAGGACCAGCTGAGGCTAGCCACCCACCTGCCTCCTGCCAACCCTGCGGGCTGCCCTGGGCCTGCCGGCTCGGCCAGGAGGGTGGTGAGTCCCTGCCCTCCCCACTCCCTCTGTGGGCTGCCCACCAGGCCCAGGACTACTCTCTACCCTTATTCACATTCCTTACCCACCCCACCAGCCTGGGTCCCCAACTTACGCAGACGAGGAGGGCAGGGATAGGGGTGCAGTGCCTGACATGGATCATGGCCAGCAGACTGGGCAGGTGCCCCTCTCGGGCTCCAGAGAAGCACAGTCTGTGGGTTGGGACAGAGATGGGTGGGGGCCATAAGCCCGGCCTTGGGCTTCCCTGCTGGCCTGATCCTAGACCTCAGCTCTAGACCTGATATCTCTCTTGGCCTCTGATCCCCTGCTCCAGGCCCCAGCAGCCCTGCTGGGCGGTTCTTCCCCAGATCTAGCCCACCTCCCCCTTGCTTTCTGTACCTGAGTTGGTTGCATCTGTTACTAAGGAGCTCATCATCCCAGATTCTGGTGGGCCCCAACTGGCTGGATCTCACTTCCTCTGGCCCCCCAGCACGGCTCGTGTGCACCAGGCCACCTGCCTTGTCTCACCTTGACCACCCTCTCCCAAGTCCAGTCACCTGGAGGAGGTGAACAGGTAGCCATTGATCCCTCCAAAAGTGGAAAGTGCCACAGAGACAGGCATGACCCAAGAAAAGTAGCCCAGCAGCTTCTCCCCGAAGGTCTGAGTGGGCAAGGAGAGAGGTGGTATATGAGGCAGGGTAGGGGCCTGGCAGGAGCCAGGGACCAGGTGGGACCCCCACTCACCACAGCCACTGCATTAGAGGCCAGCAGCTCCTGGGGGGACATGGCAGTGAAGTAGGCCACATTGGTGAAGGTGTACACGAAGGTCACCAGTGGGATGGAGATGAAGATGGCACGAGGTAGGTTCCTGGGGGCAGTGGTGGAGTGAGTGGGCATCAGCCCTTGGTGGGTGGGGGGATAGGGCCCAGAGGTGAGGAGAGAGGACCTGGGGAGCCTGAGCCTCCATCTCCTGTGTCTGCTGGGGGCCTTCGGGCAGGCAAGGAGCAGCACTATTGGCTGTTGCCCCTGCCTGCCTGGCAGTCCCTGTCTGGCACAGGCTGGAGGGAGATAGGCAGATGGAGGAGGGGCCATGTCGTGCCCTGAGGGATGGGTCTAATGTCTATGCATAAAGAGAAATTTGCATACAGCCAAAATCAGCCTTGAAAATCCCACAAGTGCCCTCAGAGCTAGTTGGTACAGCAAGGGTCCCCCAGGACTTGCTGTAGCCCCAGCCCCAGCTGCAACTGTTCACTGTCGGAATCCCTGGCTGAGCATCAGGTGGAGCCCTTGGCTTCATTTGTAGGGACCATGTTGTATGCACATGTATAATATTTGGCCAGATGTAGATAGCTGGATCCATTTACAGCAGGACAATGACACTCAGTGTTTCTGAGGCCCAGCAAGGGGCTGTGACCCATCCACAGCCATACAGAACAGGCCGGCTGGAACACAAGCATCCCAGCTGTCTTTCCGGAGTCATTCATGTGTGGCAGCAGCGTGGTCAGGCAGGTGGCAGCAGGTCTGTGCAAGGAGGCTGCCTCTCCCACTGTCCAGCCCACACCTTCCCAAGATCTGGCTGGGCGACTCACTTTCGAGGGTCAACCAGCTCCTCGGTGACATAGTTGAGGAAGTTCCAGCCACTGAAGGCAAAGGAGCCCTGGAGGAAGGCCAGGGCCAGGTGACCCACGGAGGGTGACATCCAGAAGTCAAAGGCATTGCTGGGCATCAACTCTTCAAAGTGCCCTGGGGGTCCAGAGGTCAAGGGTCAGGTTGTCTTCCGAGCCCTGTGCACAGCCCCACCCTGTACCTACCTTGGAAGATCTGGACAAAGCCCACACCAATGATGAGCGACAGAGCCAGCAGCTTCCCGCCGGTGAAGATGTCCTGGATTCGAGTGGCCCAGCGAACACTGGAGCTGTTTACCCACGTCAGGAGCACTGGGGAGGGAAGGTGGGCATGTGGGTGGGCACCTGACCTGAGCGTCCCATGGTGGGCCACAGGCGAGTTTGGCCCAGGCTCGGCAGCTGGATTGCAAGAAGCCCAACCCCTGAGGGGGCCTCACAGGGGCTGGCAGCTGGGAAGGATCCCTCTAGCCCTCCCACACTGAGCAGGGGCAGGGTGGGCCCCAGCAGCCTGCTGCTCTGGGCACTCACTCAGGCAGGCCATGGAGAGTGCACGGGAGGCAGCGGCAGGGGGGATGCAGTTGGGGAACACGGGCTGTAGCACGTAGTTGGAGAAGGTCATGGAGATGACAGCCAGGCTGGTGGGGTACATGATGAGGACGGCACTCCAGAGCAGCAGGAAACTGGAATGAGTAAGGGCCCGAGTGGCATGCACCCTGGCATCTTGCTGGTCAAGCTGGCCTAGGTGTGTAGAGCAGGGCCGCACCTGGGCCCTGGCACCCCAGGGCTGGTGTGGGCATCAGATGCCAGCTTTAGTCCAGGCAGCCAGGGTGGACTCTGTCAAGGTTTCTGCCCTATTATGGACCATTTCAGCACTGGTAAACAGCTACAGGCTGCCCTTGGGTAGGTGTCGAGAAGGACTCAGGAACCAACCACCTGTCTAATGGCTACCTAGCCCCGGGTCACATGCTGTTTCCTGAGCTGGGGTGAGCTGTCCTGGACCTTTAGTCAGGGCTCCAGCCACAGCTCTCTGCAGAGTCCTGTGGGTGCAGATGGCTGACTCTGAGCTGTGATCTCCAAGGGTCCAGACCTTCTAAAGAGCCCTGACTGAGGGTGGGGAATGACTTATGTCCCTTGCATCTGCAGGGTGCCTATGTGAGTGGGGGCTCTGCCTGACTCTAGGAGAGGTCCTGTCTGTGGGGGTCATCCTAGCTCTCTCTCTAGCCCTTGTTGGTGGGGATTGTCTCGTTGAGGGACACCAGGGACCTCTGGGGCACTGACCTTGGTGTCTTCCTCTTGGTCTTCACCTTTGCTTTGTAGCCCTGCTTCCTACCTCTTGCTTTGCACCCCACAACCCTGTGGCTTCTGGGACACTCTAGCTCCACGGCCCTCCTCCCCTGCTTGGGGCTCCCTTCTACTCCCCTCACCACCATTTTGGGGGCTCCTGGGGTAGGGTCCTGGAGCCTCTTCACCCTCCCACCTCCTTGAGTATTCTCTCCAGCTGCATAGCATGGAGACCCCTTTGAGGACCCTCTCCCAAGAGGATAAAACCCATGGACACCCCACAGGGGTGCCCATGCCCTGACAGGCCCTACCACAGCTACCTCATTGAGGGCCTCAGAGATCTTCCTCAGAACCAGACTTTGTGTAATTCAACCTAGACTTTTCTTCTGAGCTCTAGACCCTCCACCCAAGACCTGACTGAGCATCTCCCCAGATGTGCTACAGACCCCACCAGCATGGCAAGCCTCACCCCAAAATATCCCCCTCTCCATCCCAGGAACTGCCATTGATGGAGACTCTCCAAGAGGAAAGCAGTGTCAACCCACTGCACCCACTCCTCCCTAACACTGGCTGCTGTGGCCTCTGACTTCAGCTCCTAGAAGATTCTGGAATCTCCCTGTACCTTTGTTTAGGCCCTCAGTATGGCTCAACTGCTGATTGCAATAGCTTTGGGGACTGCAATTCTCCATCCCCAGGCTGCCCCCTCCCCTCCAAGCCCTGGCATCTACCATGGATCTGACCTCACCCGTGGCCACGGCAGACTGACAGAGCTCAGCTGGGGCACCGCCCTCTGTATGTGCTCCGCCTCCTCACTGGTCAGCTGAGAAAACCCCACCCTTCCTTCAAGCCTTGGCACAAACGTGTTTCTCCCTGGGAGCCTTCCCTAGGTGGTGGGCACCCTGTTCTCTTGGTTCTCTTGGCTGTTGAACCATTGCCTCTCACCCACACCCTCAAAGCAAGGATCCTCTAGGTGTTAGTCAAGTTTGGGGGGCTGTTTCCCTTCTGCACTGTGAGCACCTTGAGGGTAAGGACTGTTTTCTTTTTTAATTACTTTATCGCCTTTTTATCACTGCATCCTTGGACCTCAGCGCACAGTGCTCAGCTCATGTTCACTGGTGAATAAAGGAGCATCAGGGAGCTATTTACAGGGGAACTTGCAGGGCATTGATGGGAATATCTTGTCTTCTACTCCCACACATAAGTTTAATAAAATCTAGAGAATTCAGATTGTAAGGGCCTCCCTACCCATAAGCACCCAGGTAGAGTGGGGCTTAAAGGGAGCTCTATTTAAAAGGAAACAGAGAGGTCAAAGGGCCAGCCAGAGTGTCTGGCTGGAGTGTGGTGGGCACTGGCCTTGGAAGGCTGCCCAAAACCCCCACCCACTTCCCTCCGTCCAGCCCATGACCTTCCTGTGATGTGAGAAGCAGAAGAGGAAACAGGTCCAGAGCCCACCTGGCCATCCATCCCAGAGACATGTGCCCCCGCTCCGCTGCTGGTGCCCCACACTCACCCAGCCAGGCCCCCAAAGATCTCGGTGACATAGGCGTAGTCTCCGCCGGATTTGGGGATGGCGACTCCCAGCTCCGCGTAGCAGAGGGAGCCCAGGGCAGTGACGCCCCCACCCAAGACCCAGACGAAGAGGGCCAGACCCACTGAGCCTGAGTGCTCCAGGACCCCCTTGGGGGAGATGAAGATGCCCGAGCCGATGATGTTCCCTGCAAGGGAGAGATGGGCAGGCATCAGGTCTGGGGCCCCCTAAGCAGCCCAGCCTTCTCTGTGGGGCTCTGGATGCTGCAGTGGGGAAGGGAAGGGGCTGCCTCCTGGAGGGGGAGGCAGGAGGTAGCCTGGAGGCCTGGGGATGCCACAGGCCCCTCAGACCCTGTGAGTCTCAGTCTGAGCTCATCCTCTCCCCTTCCTCAGTCCTTGGTATGGGAGCAGCACCTTGTCACCTTGTCCATCCAGCCCGGCTCCCCTGCTGGAGATGGGTCTTGTTCTGAGTTCCTCGGCCCCCCACTTACTCCAGAACTGGCCACCTAAAGCAGGACCTTAACCCTGACACTCTCCTGCCACTTGTCTATTAGCCAAAGTCCAAATGGGGTGGCACCTCCTCCAAGAAGCCCTCCTTGACTGTGCCAATTTGGGCTCTTCCTCCTACTCCACAGTCCTGTGGTTCCCCAGACCCTGTCCCATACTTTATTTCTTTATCTTCTGTCCCCCCTTTTCCTATCAGGGAGCCCTTCCACCTGCTTCCTGGGCTCCTTTCTGACCTTGGACCCAGACTGGAGAGACAGACTCTGAAGAGACGTTGTTTCCTGGCACTGTTAAAATGTCTCAGGCCTTGGGCAAGGGCTGGTGGGATGATGGGGAGGAACCGGTGCATTTGCAGGGCAGGGGTTGGTCAGCAGCTTTCATGGAGGGAATGGGGTGAATGACAGCAGGTCAGTAGAGACTCTGAGTGCAGCCTGGGGTTTGGGCCTAGACTGCCTCTCTCCTGGGGACAACCTGCTGTTTGCAAACAGGGGTCACTGCTCTAATCTCAGGACCACAGTAGGAAACCCTGCTGGAGCTCAGGAGGCCTGGGGACCTCTCCCCACTCAGGTCACCCCTGGAGTCCTGTCTGTACAAAGAGATTATTGTGAGGATTCCATGAGACACCATATGGGGAACCCTCAGCTCATCACAGCTCTATCTGGAAGTACTGGGCATCTTCGTTTGCATGATTCTGTGTGCACTTTCACCTGCTTTCGCTCTCCTTGGTCCCCCAGCACCCAGTAGGTGCTCAGTACACCTCTGTTGAGTAGACTCATGAGTGAGTGAAAGGCTTGGTGCCCAAAGTAGCATTGATGCCCTGACGTGAAGGACTGACTTCCTGATCCATGAAATGGGCGTGGCAGTTCGTGCTTGTCCTGGAAAGGGACTGTGAGGAGCAGAAGGGTGGCCAGCTTCCAAGGCTAGTGTGTGAGTGGCATCTGCCATGGTTGTGGAAGGCCTGCCTTGCCCCTGGGGCTGACCCTGAGTCTCAGAAGGATGGCCTGGGGGCCGGTGCTCCGCTGACTCACCATCTCTGGGAGAGGGATAACGGGAAATGCTCATAGGGCCAAACTGCAGTCTGCAGAGCAAGTTCTCAGGGTGAGCAAGCCTCTGATGCCCACTTAGTCCTGAGCTCCTTGGCAATTGGGGCAAAGAGGGTATTACTCTGGGTCACCTGGATCTCATCATCTGTGCAAATGAATTAGGTCTCATCACTGGTGATTTGCATGAAGACCTGCCCAAGAGGAAATAATCCCAGAACCCATATGAATAAAAGGGCCACATTGCTGGGACCTGGGGCTCAGCCCCTCGACAAGATTACCCTACCTGCCAGGACCCTGTGGTGAGTGCCCGTCCATCAGGGCAGAGCCTGCTTGCTCCACCTGCCAGGCCTGCTAGTGGGTCTGGATGAGGACACAGCTGTGGCCACCAATCTGCATGCATTCCTTGTCCCTGGTGTTACCCCCCACCCCCACCCCTGGCCGACACAGATTTCCAGTCTGGACGGCACGATGACCTGCTTGGTTTTCCAGTCACATCCCAGGAGCCCTAAATACATCCAGATAAGGATGAAAGAATTCCTGTCGCCCAGCCCCCAGATGTAAGCTGTGCCCTCAGCCTGCTTCCAGGGCTGAGGGGCTGCCTCCCTTATCTAGCATGGGGTTCCGGGGCCTGGGTGGGCTGTCAGGTTTCTAAACGGCCTTTGAGTTCACTCTGTCCGGCAGCAGAGTCTCTGTTCTCAAGACCTGGTCGAGGGGGATTTGCCAAAGTAGTGAGGTTGGAAGCCAGTGGGGGCTGGGTGGCTTGGGAAGGAGCCCCAGGCCGCCTACCCTGAGGGGACCCCACCACTTTCCACAGTTCTGCCTGGCAGTGCCTCATGGCTGTAACCCTCAGGGAGCCACACCTGGCATCTCACCCTCCAAGACTGGGATCATAAAATGACACATCACTAGCCTGTGCCAGTAACTGGCTCTGATGCTGGTATCTGGGGAATGGGCTGGGGGATCACTATTGTTTTGGACATCAGGCCTCAGTCTGCAGTGCAGGACTCCTCTCTGTGTGGCTCAAAGGAACACACATGGCAGCTGATGTCTCTCCAGGCCTTGGGGGCCTCCTGCTTTGAGTCTGGACAGCCTCCACCATCTGCCCCAAGTGTGTGCTGGAAGGTGGCAGAAAATCCCATTGAGGTGCAGTGGCTTCTCTCAGCACCACATGAGTTGGGCGGGACTCTGCAAGGAGCTACTGGGAACTGTGGGCCTGGTGAGCAGCAGAGGGCAAGGAGGAGGAGGTGGGGTGCTGAGGACAGGGGCGGGGCCTTCAGCACTTGAGTGATTACAGGTGTGGACAAGGGTCCATGGAGCTGTAAGGGGGGCTGCAGGGATGCCTGCCCACCCCTCTGGTGGTGGTGGGCTCAGGGCTCATCTCCAGGCCTCAAATGTAATCAACTCTGCCTGATTTGGGGAACAGAAGTGGATAAGCCAGTCCTTGGGGATCCTGCCTGCAGGAAGAGGAGGGGCAGGAACCAGGGACTGTTGGATGGGCTAGGGGGTACTGCTAAGCACCTAGCCAGATATCTGACCACTTGCAGGCCAGAGAAATGTGGGTTCCAAGGCCCCCACCTTCCCATCCACCCAATGGAATGGCTGCTCTGCGGTCCCTGCAGGCCCGCGGTGGGGCCAGAGCTCCAGGGCAGGTAGGCGAGGATGTAAATCCCCTCCCCAGGCTGGCCCCCTCCATTCTCCTCCCACCCTCTCCCCTCAGCCTGCGCTGGGTGGTTTTTCTCACATTAAGATGTTTGGCCTGATGGGGCTTACCCGGCTCCACGGAGGAACGAAGAAAGGGCCATTGTTCCCCCAGCTGCTGCGGTGCGTTCTGACCTATTTCTGGGAGGCAGTAGCTGAGGATGGAGGTCTCAGGGGTGGACTGTGGAGGTTGTATCAGTGGCAGGAGACAGCTGCCCTTGGTGTGTGTGAGGGGAATGTACAGAGTCTGATCTGGGGAGGGTGCAGGGACCTACCGTCAGGCCAGGCCCCTGGCACCGCCCTCATCCCTAGATACACTTTCAGAAGTTGGCTGCATGACCTCAGGCCAGTGCTGCCCTTCCAAGCCTCAGTGTCCTCTTATGTCAGGTAGGGCCACTGGGCTAGGGGGCAGCAGAGGCATATCTGCCCGGGGTCCAGGGAAACAAGTCTGCTCAGGGACCCCTGTTCCTCTCTATGGCATGTCTCTTTCCAGCTCACAGGCCTCCTAGAAGCACCACCACCCCCAGGAAGCCCTCTTAGACCTCCCACCTTGGTCTTTACAACGTGGACCCTGCCCTACTCCCATAGTACTTGGGGGATAGCCAGGCAGTGAGTCCTTTCTTTGCCAACCTGGATAGATCCTACATTCCCAGAGGGCAGGGTCTATGCCCTTACCTGCTGAGATGTGAGGCCTGAACCCTCCCAAAGGATTGGGAGCCCACATGGCCTCGGTCATCTTTCATGTGCCTTGCCTAAGCCCTGCCTCTTTCAGCCAGCGTGGCCATGACAGGGCCTCCTCCTGTCACCCTGGCCTTCTGGCATGATTGACAGCAGCTTTGGGCCTCCTGGGCCTGATCAGGGGCTGGCCATGGGCCAGGCCTCCTTCCCTTGCTCCGGGCAGTGAGTCCCAGCACCTCCCCATTAGGATATGACCCATGAGGCCTTTGAGAAGGATTTTCAAATACCCATTGGTAGGTCTGAGGGCCTCTGAGACCAAGGGGGCACCTACTAGTTTAGAACCCCCATATCTGGGTTCGAATCCCAGATCCTTCATGATAGGGGGTTGTGGACAAGGTACTTTACCTCTCTGAGCCTTCTTTTCTGTAAAATGGGGAGATGAGGCAGTGCTGTGGGCACGCTCCCACCTTACCTGGCACGTCGGAAGTGCTTGTGGATGTCACTGTTGTCATCCACCTTGGAGACACCCCAGGACACCCTAGCCTTTGGAGACCCATCCCCAATAGGACCTAACATCCTGGGGTCAGCAGATACAGCCCTGCTCTGTGGGCCCTGCTGTTGTTCTGGGTGAAGCTGTGGCTCCAAGCACATGAGTCCTTATGGTGAACATGTGTCGGGCACCCCTCCAGGAAGACAGCAGTGTCCACTGAGGTCTTGGCAGAACTGCAGGGCGGTGATGAGGATGTTTCCCGGACATGCTTGGAATAGTCAACTGGCCAGCATGCACCTCCGGCCTAACGCACTTTCCTCTCAAGAGAGGGATGAGCAGAAGCGTGGGGGCACTCTCTGCCTGGCTCCCTCTGCTCAGCCCAGCCTCACCGAGCAAGCCTTGCCTGTTCCCTGTGTCCAGGCTGAGGTCTGTCAAGGTCACCAATGAGCTCCACGCTGCTGGGCTCCGCAATTGGGCCCCAGGCCGCATCTCACTTGCCTCATCGGCAGCATCGGCAGTTGGTCCCTTTCCTCCTCACTCGGCCTCCTGGCCCTCCTCCCACCTCGCTGGCTGCTCCTCCTGGACTCCTCTGCTGGTCCCTTCTTCTCGCCTGACTTCTGGATGTTCGGTGCTTGGGGCTCAGTCCTGGGCCCTCTGCCCTTTTCTTTCCACACTCACTCCCATGGAGACCTCATATAATCTGTATCCTTTCTTTTCCCTCCCCTCCCCTTCCCTTCCCTTATCCTGTGCCTCTTCTGCTCAATGCCCTGTTAGGACTCCCATTCCACCAAGGGACAAAGGCAAAGTCCTTACTGTGGCCCTCAAGGCAGACCCAAGCTGGATGCCATCCCACTCCTGACTCACCTCCTACCTCCAATCCTCCGCCCTGTCTTAATTTTCTCACCTTAGCACTTATCAACACCCTGTCGGCTGAACATGCAGCTTGTCTATCTTGTTTGCTCTTTGACTGCCATGCCGCACGGTCAGCTCCAGGAGGACAGGGCATTCCCTGCTGTATCCCCAGCACTGTTCTCTACCTAAATATCGAATAGATGAATGAGTGTGTCCAGGGCCAGCACTTGGAGATGCCTTGCTCCCCTACAGCGTCCCAGAGCATGCCAAAGACATCTGAACCCGGGCTGGTTGCAGCCGCAGGTCCCTGCTGTACGTTGGAGCTGTGGTGAGGCACAGGCAAGCTCCTGTGTGGTTCCTCAGGGTTCTGGTGAAGAGGGGCTGGAGTTCTGGAGAGGGCCATCCTCTGAGCAGCCCAGCCGCCTCCAGCCCTGGAGACATAGAGGGACTTGGCTATGGCTTCAAGATGTGATTCATAAACCCTTAAGGAGATAGGGTTCAAGAAGTAGACCCCTGAGTCCCTGAACATACTTGAGCCCAACCCACAAACACTTGCATGGGCAGGACACTTGAGTCAGAGAGAGTGGAGGACAGGACGGCATAGTCAGCAGCCAAGGGTGGTTCACACTCTTCTAGACCTGGGTGCATCCCTTCCTTGGGTGTGGATCGGGAGCGGGAGCTGGCCAAGGTCCTTGAGTCCAGACAAGAGACTCCACTCCTGGGTGGGGAGTCAGGGGAGACTGTTCAGTCCATCTGTTTGTTCATCCTTCCATAGTAAATGGGGGAGCTCAGTAAACTGTGGTTGAATGAGCTCTCAGTTCAATCCCCAACCTTTTGCCATGAAGGGCTCCATATCTGGCCCCAATTTTGCTCAGCACCAGAGCAATATGAATATGAATAAGGACACTGGATTGGGAGATGAGTCTAAATCTGGTCCTAAATCCCAAGTCTAACATTTGCAGCAGTGTCACTTAACTTCCACTCTCCATGTCTACATCTGTAAAATGGGTATAAAAATTCCCATCTTGCAAGATGAGCATGAAAATTGAATGAGATAAAGGGGAAACCTGTTCTCGTAAAGTAAGAAGAGCTGTTTGTCTGAGTAGATATTGGATGTGGCAATGATTTGCACAGTGCCTGCCCCACATGGCTCTCGTTCCTCCAGGCTGTCCAGTTCCCCTCCAATTGTGCCTGCTGTGGCCAGCAGGTGCTGTTCTACACACATTTTGGTGGAGCCTTATTCCAGTCCAAAGCCCTTCCATATTGTTCTATTCCTGAAAGCCTCACGCAGCCTGGACAAGACAGGAGGCACAAGGAGAGACAGTGATGGGGTCTGGGAAGGTCTGTTTGGAACTTTTGGAGATAGTAAGTTCAGTAGCTGGTAACAAACAAGAGCGATTATGGAGAAGGATATAAAGTTCTCAAGACTTTCAAAGTTAAAATATGACACTTTGCAGACTTTGACCAGGCTTCCCAGGGCAGGAAGATGGGGTAAGATGTGGGAGGTGGACCCCCCAGTTCAGTGAATGGGAAGATGGTAAGGGCCCTTAGGGCACCTTGTAGGGACGGTGGAGCTGACCCTGACTCAGCCCACATCTGTTGCTTCCTCAGGTCCTGTCACCTTCTGTTCTAGGTCAGTTCCCCCTTTGCCTGTCCCCTGCCTAGCCCAGTCTCCTGATGCTGTAACCCAGTGGAGCTCCCCAAGTAGGGCTGTTGGACCACAGCTGAGTGTCCTGGGCTAGGGTCAGGCCATCTGTGCCCTGTTCCTGAGTCCACCAGCCTTGGCCAAGTCACCCCTCACCCCAGCTCAGCCTTCAGGGTCTGGGGGCTAAGGGGGCAGTGGACCCAGAGCGGCAAGAATGGACTGAAGAGTTAGGGGCTGTAAGGGCCGAGCATGGCTGCACCAGCAAATTCTTAAGAGTGTCTGGCCTGGAGACGGAGCCTGCTCTACTCCCATCACCACCACCAGGGTTTTGAGGAAGGAGGAGCCAACAGCCTCTACCTGACCTGAGGGGTTGGCTGTGGGAGGAGGCAGAGTAGGAATGCAGCTCAAGGATGTTGGGCTTGGCTGAGGCAGTGCAGAAAGAGCTGTGTCTCTCCCTGAACCTTCCTGGCACTGCAACTGGCTCCAGACATGATCAGCCTCGACCCATGGCTCATCCATCATGTGTGGGCTTCCCCTTCCTGGTGGTGCATCTCCTGGAGAGGATGTAGGCCAAGACGCAGCTCTAACCAGTACTCTGGCCAAATCCCTGGAACCAGCTCTTCGTCCTAGCACAGAGTCAGGCAGGGCCCTCTGGGGCCAAGGCGGTCTCAGGGTCAGATCAGGACCCACTCCTGGAAGATACCATTCAAGGGGCAAGCTGGTGGGACAGCGGAGCTACTTGCATAGGGGCTGGGTTGAAAGCAGGGCATGGCCAAGGGTCAGACCCCATCCCCAGCCCAGGAGGGTGAAGACCTCCATCTGCCCTCTTGTGCCCCTAACTTTCTCCATCTCCAGGGTCTGAAAATGAGTGAGCAGTCGATGTATAAACAGCTCCCATTGGCTGGCGAGGGAAAGACAGGCAGGTAGTAGAGTGAGAGTAGTCAAGACCCCTGTCATTCATCCCTCCAGCCCATATATCCTGGGACACAGGGGGGTGGAACAGACCACTTCCAGGTCTCTGAGACACCTAGTGTGGACACAGGAATAGGTCTGGGTTAGCCTGTGTCTCAGGAGTCTGTGTGAAATGACTTGGGACAGAAGAGGAAAATCCCACCACTGTTCTCATGACCCCTTAGCACTCTGCCTACCCAGAAGACCCTATATGGGGGCAAGACGCATGGACCCATTCTTGGAAGGGGTGCTAGGGCTAGAAAGCCAGAGTAGGTTAGTGTCTGTTGGGATCCAGCCCAGGGAGCAGTTGGGTTTTCTGCAGGCCTGGTCTGACCACCCCATCGCGGGCCTTCTCTAGTCTCTGGCTACTCTGCCTCCTCTCCCTGGCTCCTGCCACCAAACTTTGTGTTAATTACATACATATTTAATATACATATGTAATAATAATGTATGTAATATATGTATGTAATAATAATACATTAATTACATAATAGAACCTATTTCCCTTCTGGACTATAGCTCTGCCTCATCAGTCTACCCACAGTCCTCCTAATTTCGAAGAATAAATCGCCCATACTGCTCGGCACCCGCATCCTGCACACTATAGGGTCTCAGCTTGAGCCACAGCCCAGAACTTGGGGACCTTAGCCAGGGTCAACCTGCTCAGCCCCCCACACTTCCAAGGCTCCTGCACTCAAAGGAGGACCATAGTCATCTCCATTTCATGGATGAGAAAACTGAGGGTAATTGCCTTGCTGAAACCCCACACAGTAAAGGACAGTAAGGAAGATTCCAGCGGTAGATGGGACCCACACCTCCCAGATGCAATTCCGTGCACCTGGGGAGGTGGAAACAAGAAGCCCTGCGGCTGCTGTGTGAGGAGACACCACAGGTGCTCCAGGCGTCCCCTCGTCCAGGTTCCCACCGTCGCAGACCAGTAGGAGCGCCGAGGGAGGGGAGCCAGTTGTTCCGTGGGTCTGTGCGCCCAAGCCTTCTGCTCTGCCGCCCCAGGCACCCACCCGCCTCGGGCACCGCTCACCGATGATGATGGTGCAGGCGCTCACCAGTCCGATCTCCTTCTTGAGCGCCACCCGCTCCGAGGCGCCGGGGCCGGGATCCAGGCAGGGAGAGGGCGAGGGCGCAGGGCCGGGGTTCTCGCGCCCGCTCGGAGGCTGCGTGTGGCCGGCCATATCGCTGTCCAGCCGCGTCCCAGCTCCCTGCACTGCCCAGTCTGTCTGACTGGCAGCCAGTCCGTCGGTCCGTCGGTCTGCCTGTGCGCGCGCCGCGCTCGCAGCCCGGACAGCGCCTACGGGCGGGCGCATGCGCTGGCGCGGGGCCCTCGGCCAGGGAGGGGTGGAACGAGCGCCGGCAGGCAGCCCCCTCCCCCACCTTCTTTAAAGGGAGCCCCCCGCCCCCAGTCCTGTCCTGGGATAGAGGGGAGGACTTGGGGCAGACCTGGGAAGAACTTCCTAGTTGAGCGAAGGAGGGAGCCCTCCCGCTGCCTGGGTCACATCCGTTCTTGGGGTGGGGGGCAGAACTCGGCAAGACTGTCCCTGCCCTCAGGGAGACTGAGGAAGCAGGCAAAATAGTAACTGTCAGTGTACTGGGACTCGCTGTGTGCCAGCGCTTCCACACCTTAACTCCGGGCACGCCCCCCAAGTGCGTGTGTGCGGGGAGGCGGGTGGAGTTGGGTGCATTATACAGGTGGAAGTTGAGGCCCAGAGATACAAAAAGAAGAGCGCAGAGCAAGTGGCAGCGCGGAGACGCAAACCCTTTCTGACGCTTCCAAACGGTGAGGGCGGGATGTGAGGTACAGCTCTGGGGGGGTTAGGGGCTGCGTGCAGGACTGCATCCCGGTTGGAGTCAGAGCTCAGCGGACCAAAGCTCGGGTGTTTGAGGGAGGTCCTCTGCAGTCCTGCCCGGCTCAAGGAGACGAGGCAACCTCAAAGGCTCGGGAGACACAGAGCAAGGGCTGTGGGCCCTGAGGGCGCAGGAGGAGGTAGGGAGTGCAGGGTCTGAGGGAGGCTGTCTACTCCCGGAAGCAGCCCGGACTGTGCAGCTCCGACCCGTGGAGCAGACGGAGGGGGGTAGCGTCGGGGGCCACCGGGGCGGAGGGAGGGGCGAGCCTGGCACGGTGCGGCCGGCGGCGGAACAGCCTTTGTCCTTTCCTGGCGGCTGCCACTCCGCATCGTCCCCTGCATGTGGATGAGGCCGCGGGGCTCCCGGCCCTCCCCGCCCCCTCCCCACCGCTGCGGCCTCGGGGCTTGCAGGGGCCCCTCCTGGGGTCCGACGGCGGCCGAAGTCGAATTGGGGGACTGCAGGCGGAGCATCGAGGTGCCAGAGTGGCGGTGCAGGGGCTTTGGCGGACGAGTGGCCTTCGAAGGTGGCGGCGGGACCTGGGTATAGGGAGCCAGAGACACTGAGGGACTAGGCGCAGGAGGCCACCGGCGAAGCTTCAGCCTTCGCGCTCCCTTCGGAGTCCGGCATTCTTGGCGCCCTCTCCCTCCCGCCCCAGAGACACGTTCAGCAGCCGGCTCCCTTAAAGGACACTCATTCGGAGGGTGGGGTGGAGAGAGGCAGCGAGAGCTCTGGAAACTCTTGATTGTGGCAGGTGGTGGGGGACAGGGGTCTCGACCTGCTGGTTTGACTCTCCCCATCCAGGTGCCCTTGCAACGTTTGGATTAGCTGGGAATGGGTTCAGCCAGGGTGAGCGCCTCCCGGGGGTTGGCATGAACCTCACACCCGGAGACTGCGGTTTTCCAGGTTGAGTCTTTCATGGCACCTGAAATGTGAGTATGTGTTTGAGGAGAAGGGGTGGCTCTTGGGCACTTCACAGGATGGAATTTGTGTGGTGTTTTTCAGGCTTACAGCTCAGGAGGTCATATTAGCGGAATTGAACTTAAAAACTGCAAACCCTAATGGGATGAAAGGTTGACAAGATTGGTTTACTGTCCCAAAGTCAATCAGCACAATTCCCCACAATAACAGAGAAAAATGAGGAAAACCATAGGATCTTCTCAATAACAGTCATATGTGATTTAAACAAACCAAAACTCTTAGCAAATTAGAAACAGAAGAGAAATCCCCCAATTTGATAAAGGTATCTACCCAAACCCAAAGCCCTCCAAGAAACAAACAAACAAAAATCCTACATCATGCTGAATGGTGTAGTGTTGAATGTTTTTTCCTGACACTGGAAATGAGAAAGAATATTAGTACTCATCAGTTCTATACAAACTATGCTTGAGGTCCTAGCCAGTGCAATAAGGCAAGAAAAAGAAGTAAAAAGGCACACCTTTTAGTGACCAAAATCTGGAACATGACAGCACACTATGTTGGTGACAGGAACTCTCATTCATTGCTGGTGGGATTGCAAAATTGTACAGACACTTTGAAAGACAGTTTGGCAGTTTCTTACAAAACAAAATACTCTGATGATGTGATTCAGCAATTATGTTCCTTGGTATTCACCCAAAGAAGTTGAAAACTTATAGCCACACAAAAACCTGCACATAAATGTTTAAGGCAGCTTTATTCATAATTGCCGGATCTTGAGAGTAACCAAGATGTCCTTTGTTAGGTGAATGGATAAACAATGGTACATCCATGCAATGGAATAATATTAAATGATGAAAATAAATGAGCTGTCAAACTATGAAAAGACATGGAGAAAACTTAAATTCATGTTACTAAGTGAAAGAAGACAATCTGAAAAAAGTAAAAAGGTATGAAGATGGGACATATGTAAAACTGTCATTTACATATGACACAGTTGGGCAGAAAATAAAAAATTTACAAGTAAACTTCAGGTTTACTTGGTTTAGCAAAGTCAATGGATACAAGTTCAATATATAAAAAGTGATTGTATCTCTGTCTAGTAGCCACAATCAGAAAGTGATTTATTATAGCATAAATATCAAATAGCTAAAAATAAATCTGGTGAATTGTGTGTGGTTCCTACATAAAAAATCATAAAACTGAGGGAAATTGTAAAAGACAGAAATTAATTGAGCAATATACTCTGTTCATGGATAGGAATTTAAGTTGTTGGTTTTCTCCAAGCACTCACAAAGTCCCAAAGGGTTTTGTTGTTTGGTTGGATTTTTGTTTTGTGTGTATGTGAAATTTGATAAGCTGATTTTACCACTCACAGTATAGTTAGGAAGACAGTATGGTTGTGGTGCAAGGACAAACAAATCAACCAGTGGGACATAACAGAAAATGCTAAAACAAACCCACCCACTTATGGACTCCTGATTTATCACCACAAAGGTAACATGGAAAAGCAGTGGAGAAAGGGCAGGCTTTTCAATAAGTGGCACTGTACCAATTGAGTATCTATATTAAAAAAAAAAAATGATTCTTCATCTCTACCTTACACCATACCCTAACAGCAGTTCCATGGATGTGCATGTGAAATGTGCTTGTGATGGGTAAAACAGCAAAACTGCTAGAAGAAGACTTAGGGGAAAGAACAGATTCATTCTCTTAAACAGGACAGAAAAAGCACCAAAAAGTGATAAACTGCTAAAATTAGAAAATTCCATTAATAAAATGTATGATTAAGAGAGGGAAAATAAGTGACATGTGAGAGAGGTTATCCAATATATACATTTGATAAAGGATTTGTATCTAAAATATATAAAAACAACTACAAATCAATAGAAAAAGACTTTAAATAGGTGCTCCACAAAAGAGCAGGTCCAAATGGCTGTTAAGCTCCTGAACAGGTGTTCAACCTCATTAGTCATCAGGGAAATGCACATTAAAACCAGAATAAGATGCCACTGCACATCCCCTAGAACTCTTAAAATTAAACAACAGTGTTGGTAAGGATGTGGAACAACCCGGGACTCCCCTACCCTGCTGGAGGGAGTGTGCATTGGTACCACCTGTGGGAAAAGCCACGTGGCACTCTCTCTAAATCCCTCTGGCCCAGCATCTGCATTCTGGATCAGATACCTCGGATCCTCTTGACTCACCTTGCTATTTTTGCCCCCACTTCAAGAACAACCTGCCAGCACCTCCATCACACCTGGTCTTCTATGTTACCCGGCCCCCCAGGTATGAGATGATGAAGGACCCCACCTGGCACCCAAGAACTTGTAACCCACACTGCAGGGGGTTTAACACATATAGGCCTATCCTTTGACGCTGGCAGATGGGCGCCAGTGGATAACTTCTTCCTGTTCCTCATCCCAGAGACACCGACACCAATCACACTCATCATAAAACCTCAAGGGGAGGTCCCGCAAGCCCAGCAATCGGAGGTGTTTAGTGCCAAGCTCTGGCTGGTGCAGAAATTCATCCTCACATTGTCTCACTTACCTTTCTGCCTCATTCCCTTCCCCCCTCTTGATTCCCTATGACTGTACCCTCTAATTAAGAAGTTACACCTAAGATTTTGCCTCAGGCTTTGTTTCTGGAGAGCCCAGCCTAAGATACACTCCCAGATATGTCTCAATGGAAATAAACATATAAATGCACAAGAAGGGATCTACAATATTATTCATAGCAGCACTTTTCATAGAAGCCTCAAACTGGAAACCTAGATAACCCTTATCAATAGAATGGATAAATACATCAGAGTACAATCAAATCTGGAGGCCTGTGCTACAGAGGAAATGAACAAGCTACTACCACAAATGCCACAACATGGATAAATCTCATAAACATAATGCTAAGCAAAAGAAGCTGAATGTGATGTATTACATTGTGGGAGGATTCCATTTAAATGAAGTTCTAAAACAGGCAAAATTAATACATGTCACTCAAAGTCAAGATAAAAGTCACCCTTGGAGGTAGAGACTGGGGAGGAGCAGGTTGGGGGTCTCTGGGGTGCTGGTCAGATCCTATTTCTTGATCAGGATGCTGGTTATATGAGAATGTTGTTTGTGAAAACTCATCAAGCAAGTGATTTGTGCAATCTTTTGTGTGTAGGTTGTACTCTCTTCAGAGACAATAGGACATTAAGCATGTCCTGGACAGGTCCCTGGTGGGAGACGATCTGCATGGGGGTGGGGAGGCTCTCTGGGCCAGCTCTTTCTCTGTCGTCTCCTCATGGGCCTTGGGCCCGCCCAACACTCACGCAGTCAGTTCCGGCCTCAGTGCCCCCCCAACACACCCCCTACCTTCCTGTCTGCAGTTCTGGCCAGGTATCTCTCAGGCAGCTTGGTTTCCACCAGCCTGCTCCTTAACCATTCCCTGTCCACGTTTCAAGCATCTCTTTGTTGAGGGGTTCTTGCGGGCCCCTCTCTGCTTTTGTCCCGTGGGGCATTTTGGCTGCTCTTTCTCATCTT